TGGATCAAATTATATACCTGCTCTACGTATAAAAAGTGCAACAAAATTGAATGTAGAATCTACTAATTATATAACTACTATTCAACAATCAATTCGTGATGCAAATCATCCGGAATTTTGGCCTTTATTATATAAGAAATTGATTCATTTACAAGCTGAACGTGCTAATCAAACTGAAGAAGAGTAATAATCATCCCCCCCCAAAAAAAATGTATGTGTTATTATTTATTCATTTTAAATAGTTCAAATAGTTTATAGTCTCTTTCGTATAGTCACTAAGATACAAATATTCTTATTGATTTATTTAAACACATAAACTTTGGTACAATGATGCACCAAACAGATATGCACCACATAAATCAGGATACTGTTTGGGTGCCCAAACAGAAGCAGGTGGTTTTCTTAGGGAGCCACAACCTAAGTCTTTGGCCTAAATGTCTAATCCACAAGGTAGTGAAGCAACATCAGGAGATGCGGTCGCATGTTAGTCGGTGATCAACAATTGGTTCCTACGCCATTTGTTCCTTCAGGATACTGGAGCTCATGTACACCATTGATTTGAAATCAGGGTTTTCAACCCCCATAGGTGGATCCTCCATATACATCAACTAGGTTAAAGCACCGAACATTCGCTCTTCGACCTCTCAATTTCGTAAACAACACCCGTAGTGCGAGAAGGCAGTGAGTAGGACTTGCGTGGTAGTGGTTGTATGCACGTGGCCATGTGAGAGAATTTCGAGAGGGAGAGCTGACTCTCCCCACTCTCGGCCGTACCACAGCATTTGGAGGCCGATAGAAATATTTACAATTATTTTAATTCCTCAAGATAATGATTACCATAATTAATAACCAGTATAATGTAAAAACTTCTAAGATCAATTTTTATCATAAATTGACACTGACTGGTGAACTAGTGGATAACAGACTCATGGAGCATTCAAACCATCTGATCTTACGATAACTATAATACCTTTATTCAATTAAGCTTAAATCCAACTGAGGTTAAATTATGTAACTATCGTTCACCTGTCACTCGGTACAAGTGTATTTTAATAACCGTGGATTCGCATTAAAACTTCAAGGATTACCATTTACTAGTAGGCACACTTAAATATACAGTTTTATGAGCACAATCTAACTCCTCATCAATCTCATACACTAATACTTAATCTTAGAATACTATTACATCAACTGTAGTTAACAACATTATCCGACAGTAGACCAAAAAAGACTTGAAAATGTACAAGTGGTAAGAATTCAATCAACTGTTAAATGTATATGAAATAAGACCAATCAACAAATACAATTATTATTACGTAATATACAGAAGAATAATTAGAGATTGTCAGTTTAGTGGTTGTGGAGATTGTTAAGCTTTTGATTGAAATCATGAACTGATTGATGTTAGACCATCACTGAAAACTTGGAAGCACTGGACGGCTATTTCGTCCTATTGTGGGACTCCTCAGCAGTGCGCATCCACAATCCCGCTCGTGGGATTCGAACCCAGGGCCTTCGGTCTCGCGCGCGAACGCTTAACCTACTGGACCATTGAGCCGGCATCCAATGGTGTTAATGTCTAACCCCAATCAAGCGTGCGAGACTGAAGGCCCTGGGTTCGAATCCCACGAGCAGGATTGTGGATGCGCACTGCTGAGGAGTCCCACAGTAGGACGAAAAAAACCGTCCAGTGCTTCCAGGTTTTCAATAGTAGTCTGACATCAATCGGTTCATGATTTCAATCGACAACTTAGAGATTGGTTCAATCTTTATAGTTAATTTGTATCATGAGTAAATAATTGATTTTTTGTGTTTACTAGATTGAATAATTGAACGTGTGAAGTATATGAACAAAGAAAATTCAACTATTTTTCTATGACTACTATCACTGATAACATTTATTTAAATATAAGTGAAATAAAATGATTTAATGATTTGAACTACTCGACTTAAATCAATAACATTTACAAACGTTCTTCATTGAATGACTTACTGGTTAGCGTTTTTTAGCGAGTTAGTTTTCTACGAGATGAGGTCGTTAACCCCATGCCCAACCCTCCTCGTTTTCCCCAGTCTTGGGACCGTCACTAATTCGGGAAGAGCTGCAGACGAAGTTCTTGTCATTGAATGCCCATAATTAAAACAATGATGATTCTTATTAGTATGATTTGACCATATATTACTTACTTACGCCTGTAACTTCCACTGGAGCATTCTCTAACCCACTCTGTCCTGGGCCTTCCTTTCTAGTTATACCCAATTGTTGTTCATTCTTCTCATATCTGTCTTTATTTCTCAATGCAATATGTTCTTTGGTCTTCCTCTCCTCCTTTGGCCTTGAGGATTTCAAGTGACGGCTTGCCTTATGACCATATATAATCATTCTACTCGTTATGGATATAGTTTAGACTTTACAAAGACATAAAGAATATAATATGATCAAGGATATTTTAATATAATTATTGGAATCGATGTGTAACGATTAGGCAGGAATCGGCAACAAATTTAGTAGCTACTCACTACCACCCACCACCAAAAGAATCTTAGGTTTTAGGGAGTTGTGTAGTATAAGAAATCAACAATTGGTCTTATCTCTGTGAAAGATTAATACTTAATACAAATGCTACCACTCTTTATGTACATTTGCTAACTTAAAATGACGATCAAAAGATGATTTGTGTTGATCTGGTTCAAAAACAGAATAAGTTGTTCAATAAATTCATTCTGATCACGTAACAGGACGAATAAAAAAACAAAGTAGATGATTTTCTGCCCTGCTTACCAATGATCTAAGATTGTGGTTTGGAATTCAACCACTTCCTAGTGGGATATTGAATTGGAATACAGTCGTGCCTGGACTAGACTATGTATATGATTAACACACAACTAGAAATTTAAATTCATGTACACCTTACGAAGGTAGATACCGGAAATATATTTATCTTTCGTGAGGTAATAGTATTTAATCCAATACAATAATCGCTTAGGTTCTTATAACTGTCATATAGACTAAACCCGACCGCTGTTGCTACCTTGACGTTGTGGTCGGGCTTGCCAATCGTGATGAACCAATCGAGCTATTCTAGCTGGAACAGTCGTTCCTCAACGTCCTACCATGCCAGACAGGTCAGCTGAAGAGCGGTATGACTAAAAGCAACAAACCCAAGGTTCGAAGGCGAAGTCGTATTGCTGACTGTACAGAGGTGTGACAGTAGTAAGGTGTTCCCTTCAGACAACCAGCATGACAGCGATGCTGCCTTCCCACAGGGAGGGATGGGATTAGAAAAGGTCGACCCCAAAAATGCACACCTCACCTTATCCCGTGGATATCCGTCTCCGGCGGTAAGGTCTCAATAAGTACGGAGCTAACACAAAAATTACTCTTAAAAAGGTTGTGTGACCGACTCCAAGCAGTTGTGTCCCTTAGGCACTGCGGTCTAGCTCTCAGGTCATTAAGACTACCCCTAACCCAATCTCATTTTCGTGTACCTCCAGAAGGACCCTTTTACCGTTTGGGAAATCGGGATGTGATAACCGTCCACATACCTCTAACAGCACTCTGTATATAGACTAAAAGTTGGGATAGAATCATCAAAGAAGACTCAACAAATGGTTCAGAACAGAAGTAACTCCAATATCCACTATCTTTGTGGCAAGATAATGTAGACCAATTGATTTCTGTATGCTCAAGTCTTAATGTTAGAGAACAATTCAAGACCTTCAGTAGCATCAAGTGAATACATCACAAAATGTAAAACCTAACTAGTAAGTGCTATACATAAAACACTCGTTGAGAACTATAAGGAAAGTTTACAATTTATTACTGAGTTATTCTGCTGTATATATGGGACTGTAACCTTTTGGATAGGAGTTTTGTAAACCTTTAGTCTTTCGGATCTTATGATCTCATTAAATATTATCGACTTCCACTGTTATTTGATAAACCAGATTACTAGTATGTACGTACTCAGCTTTGAGCTACATTGTAGGTAAAGTTATTAACAATATCTGACTACGTAAATAAATGTACTGAGAACGCCGTTCGGACTATGGGGCTAATAGTTGAGAGTTGGTTGCTATAACCGTTAAGTCATTCACTTTAACCATCCAAGTGTATATATAGGTGGTGGCTAGGAGTAGAATCAAAGATGCCAGTTTCACCCTATTTCAGCCAGAGATGATGTCCAACCCGGGACTCAAAACCAACACCTTTTGCTTCAAGCTTGTTATCCACTTAACTACTGAGTTCGGATAGCTATTGGCTTGTGAAATGAGGTGAAGCTTAATTCGTTTGTATTCGTTATTTGAATCTTTCCGGACAGTACTGAGTTCGAATCCCGGAGTGAACATCAACTCTGGGATACAGGTACATCCAATAGAACAGTTCTGGATTCTACTGCTAGCCACTGTTCGTCTCTACTTAAAAATGCTTATAACTTAGCGTCAATATCGTAAGAATCTGTACAGAATGTGCATATGCCGAAAGACTGAGATCAATCGCAGTCCTGAATATCGACAGGAAGATTCTGTAGTGACCTACTTTTATCAAGAGAACGCGATTGGTTTAATGGAAACAATTATTATTATAACCAATTGTACCAGGGATTGTTTTACGGTACTTGTTTGTTTAACTGTACCAAAACACATACATTCTTCCTTCGATTGTGACCTTGCACGGATTCGATCACGCTCAGTAACCACACTTGTACTCCTTCGGCACGATCTCGGTATTCTTTCGATACCACGAGATCGCCAACAAATACATCTCGACTACAGCCATCAACTGCCTTCTGATATTCGACCTACGGGGGATCCTGTCGGTTAACTGGCACGTAGTTTTCTTGTAGTGGTGATCACAGTCAACCACGACCCAACGCCACGCTACAACTCAAATAACCAGTGCAAATACAGTATTAAGTGTATAGTTCACCGCCAATCTACAAACTAATAGATAAATCTTCATTACTCTCTTGTCTTATAGACCATAAAAAACCAATAAACGAAGGGATAATATTATTTATTATTTGGTCAAAACCATATATAAAAGGAGAACAAAGAAAACGAAAACCCCATTACAATAATCCAAATCACAGATGATCAGGCAAATTGAATAACAGTCAATCGATACACACACACACACACATAACATCGAATAGACTGAAGAAGATGATGATGATGAAATGATCAATTTAACTAATTTCGTATTTTTCCGTATGAAAATTGGATTCATATGAAAAGTTGATCGGGGTGTCCTGACTGCTTACAGTAGCTTCTATTATCTAAAAATAAATAAAAAAAATACAATGATATAATGTAACTAACTTTCTTTAACAAGACAGAATATAGTATACTAACAGTGAAACAGTAACTTGGTAGCTGAAGTGTTCCACTTTTATGTCACCGTTTTAAACTCTGATATCATCAACTTTGATTTTAACAAACAGGCTGTACTATTATTAGTCTTCATACTTAAAATGTATAATCCTACGCCGAGTACATAAACTTTACAGCTGGATAATAAATAATGAGTAATATTAGTAATTCAGAAAATATCCTGCCATAAAATAGAAAAGATGGATAGTGGCTAGCAGTGGAATCCAGGACGGACGTGTCGTCTGATTTAGGACTCGTCAGTAGCTGGATGGCGTTTGGAGCGAACGGTACTGGGTTCGAGTCCCGGAGTGAACATGAACTCAGTGAAGCAAACACACCCAGCTAACGAGTTCCAAATAAGATGAAACGTGCGTCTCGGATTTTACTACTAGCCACCACCCATCTTTGCTTAAAATGCTTGTGACTTAAGACAATATCGAGGCAATCCACACAGAACGTACATATGCCAATAAGAGACTGATCAATTGTCGTCCTAAACATCAATGGGAAGATACAAATAATACAAAATGAACATAAACTGGCAGATCAAAAGGACAATTTGCAAGGAAGATAATGAGCCCGTTTTCAGGTTATTTATGCTTGTATACAAAGAAATATATAACCTATTAGCTATTCAGTAGTTACAATTCATGGGCAAAGCAAACTCATACTGTTCACGACATGAAGTAAAATGTTTCCAATAGGGAAACAGCAGTAGTCATTTCAATACATTTATACAATGTACTTACTACCCTGATCATTATTAGCTAAATGCCCTGGTGTGACCGAGGGCAAGAAGAGTTCACACTCCCTCCGCAAATGTGTATATAGCCACTAGCACGGAAGTATTAGTAACTACCTTCTCGTACCCGGTGTTATTTATCAAAGCAAGAGGACGAAAGCCGAATGCCCAGAGAGGGCTTAAACCCGGTTCCTCCACTGTCTTGTGGAGTAGACCTCTGGGTCAAAGGCTCAGGGGGTGGGCCTCTTAGAAGACCACTTACTTCGGTTTGGACACCCGGGAAGTATTCCAGCGGACATAATAATTTATTGATTTTTGTGGCGCATATATATTTTAGTCCCCCTTTGTACTGATGTTTATAATAATATCTTTACATCACTACACATATAATTAATAATTTGCGTAGACAACTTGGGGTCAAGAAAATTTTAGTCGTACGATAATTATATTCCCAAACCAAAGCTAACTAAATAACTTCTAACACTTTCCGTCAGTCAGTCGCAACGTGGAACTTGGTACGTGTGTATATCAGTCCAAGTTGCCATCAACCATTAGCACAACGAAATGGAAATATTAGGCCAAATCCCAGAAAAATATAGGTAGTAGCAGTATAAGTGATAAAAGGAGAGATTAGGCATCGAGAACACAATTTGAAAAAATATAATTTACTGGGATAACAAAAGTTAGGAGTAATTTAGGGGATACCAAAGAATGGATACATGTGCACCATTGCAAACGATTTTGGGCCTATAACACCACTGGTTACGATAATCACTCAGACCCCAAACTGGTGGTCTGCACCTATTATAACATGCTTCAATCCAATTGTCAATGACTTCATGAGCTGATACTATGATATAGTTTGATCCCTCTTAGATCATACAAGACACATGTAAACATATATTACCTGAATTCCACAGTATGATTTATTTGATCCAAAGTTTAATTTCAAGGGGAAAAATTGTTCTGCTTGTGCACCACGTTCTGTTTTTAATGTGAACTCGAGGGAACCAGATGAATTATCACTATTAACTATGGGTATACGCCAGTCTAATTGAGTTTTACGTGGACTCAATTCATATTCCCCATCACAATTACCAATTAACGGAGGTTTAGCTGAGGGACTTCAATAATAAAATAAATACAAACGAATACTATATGAAGTCAAGTAAACAAATAAGGCGAGTAATACAGTGAAATGAAAAGTAAATTGTTGTCTATGTACTTTGTAATCAGTTGAATTACAACTCATGGAAAAGAATAAACTACATAGAAGACGGTACAAATGTTTGTCGGTTCAGATTTCTACATATTTCACAATAACACAGCTCTAAGTAAACCAAACAGTAAATCAATCATCTACAACGCAGGAACAGCCACATATATGCATCAGTTCAAGTTCATTGAAAGAAAGGCATAAGGTAATTTTAATCTCATGGTTTAAGGGAGGACAAAGAGTGTATACTAGTACGCCATTGTGATGGACTCTGAGCCATATCACTCAGTTTCCAACCATTGGTTACGGTAATCACACGGACCCCAACCAAGTAGTCTGCATCTACCAATATGACTTTAAGGACTGATGTCACGTTTTAATTTGGCCGCCCATTAATATCTTCCAACCGTCTCTAACACTAGTCAGCATTGCACGTCGTTGTAATCGGTGTTCAAGTATAAATAACACGTGACCCAACCATCTCAGTCTATGAAGATTTACAACCTCATCAACTGATTTACCATCATTCCCTCATACACTGAGTCTAACCTCGCTATTACTTACCCGATGATCCCAGCAGACACGATCAATATTACTAAGTTTGTGACCAAATACTAGTATTTGCAAGTATCTTCTACTGTTAATGGCCACATTTCGTAGCCGTTAAGTAAAACAGGATGAATTAACAATAAGACAAGTAGGGAAACAAAGATAATATTAATGTCGGTAGGAGTTCAAATTAAAATTAATGAATGGAGAACACGAAATAATAGTATGATTAAAAATACAAAGGACAAATGTACATAAAGCACTGTGTCTGACTTAAAATCATGTCATCAAACAGATTACAGTTATTGCATAGATGTGTAATATGCAATTATAAAGCCTTTTGGATCCTTCAAAGCCCTCGATAAACTATTCCTATATCTTAGTTTGGCATTATTTCAATCTATTATTTACGCTAACTAGAACAGCACATCAAAGTAATCGGTGATTAGGCGTATGGAACAGAGACAATTATTTATAACTAGTGTGAAGCCAGGTACGATTGTGTATTGGAACAAGCTGTCACAGCACACATCAACACAACAAGATAAACAGCAAAGAAGTCAAAATAATCGTAACAGTAACAACAACTACGGAGGTCAAATATCAAGAATATGGTTCAAGAAGACAGAATGAAAAGGTATGATTTAAGAAACGCTGGAACTTAAAATATAAAGGACGATAAAGTAATGGGTGTGTCTGAACTACCGTGACCGATTCCGAGCTATGTCACTCAATGTCTGCAGCCACTAGTCATGATAATTGCGCGGAGCTCAACCAGATGGTCTCCATTTAACAACATGGTTCAGTCAAACAGTCAATGACTATGTGGACTGATATTACTTCTCAGTTTCAGCTCTCCTACTTTTCTTCTAAACTACTACATCAGCTAACAATGCAAGTCGAAATATACTGTGGTACGCGATACGTAACACACACCCGAACCATTCTAGCTGACGAAGATTCACAGCTTCAAAAGACAACTATTACTATGGTTTTAACATTCGTACTGATAACTTTCTTGTTCCACTGTAAATGAGTAAGACAATTATCGTCAACTACAACTGGAATTCTCCATTAAACGCCAAACTTCATATTCGTGGAGAAATAAACGACAATATACTGAGCAGTAAACTTGCTTTGATACCAGCAGACAGAAATCACATCCACACCAAACGTAAAATAATTTAGTAAATGCAAATAGTACTGTTCTTTGTATTTGTTTCAAGATTGAGTCAGTTGTCAATCCAATAAGTTTAATGAGACACTCATAAAATTAGTGAAATAATTGACAAGATCAACAATCTCACCACACATACTTTAAAACTGGAAAACCATACAGATCAGTTCATAACACAACATTTCATGTTCACGTATGACGAGCATATTTCAAGGAAATAATTTTATCCCATTATCAACTGGATCAATAATCAACTGATAAACTTGATAGACTTGACTGATCAAATTACCCAATACGGTTTATTAGAATAAGAACGTCTTTACCAAAGATGTGTTTAGTGATCCATAAAACTAACTTACGGCAATGGGATTGACATAACTAAATTCTCCAGTTCTAATACAGAATCTTGTAATTCATATTCAACATTTACTTCAAAGCCACCGGGTATTTCATTTGGCCAACAATTAACTAGAATGAAGACAGTAAAAAAATCCTAAGTACGAATACAGTTACAGTGTACAATGCAATTCTTTGTGAAAAAAAAACACAACAGACGCTTTTGAGATGGTGGAGAAGATTTGTAGCTCAGGTGGATGATTTTGATGGAGTTTTGTTCTCTGAGCTGGATGGTTTGGTCGACCAAACCATCCAGCTCAGAGAACAGAACTCCAACAACAACAGACGCTGTCTATATCCCAAAACTGAAGTAGGCAGAACAATGGTTTAATTCTTAAAATATTCGGTTTTCAAACAGCTCTAAACCTTGCTCTGCTTGCTATGATTTAGGTTACCGGGAGATATCACCAGTCTCCTAAACACACGTGTCCAAAGCTGAGTGTACACGAATCTATAATTTGTATGGAATTTACTATCAGTCATTTATTAGGTGGAGAAAAGTTTGAATATGTTCAACATAATTTTAGAATTTGATAAGACTTATTTATGTACTAAGGTTTAAGTCGTACCCGATTAACCAAACTAAAGAAGACAGAACGATATTTAGACATACTGAAACTCTAACTGATTTTAAAGCCAAACACTACTGGGCTCTTCACTTACACAAGTTTATAAAAGTGTTCCGGCGAAGATTTAAGGTTGTATAATTTGAAACACTGACTTATAAAACAATAGATAATGATTGAGTTTCCGACAAACTGATTTTATATCATATTACCTACGATCTTAAAATATAGATGATGAATTGCTAGGGGACCTTAGGTTAGGAAGTCTGTATTTGAATGTGGTCCATTAACCTCGTAAATATTATTTTAGAGAGATCTGTCTCACTGTGAAGTATAACTCATTTTCCCAACAATAATAATAATAAACTCCAAAATCAACACAAAGAACTTTTCTCGAAGTGGAATAACTGACTAAACAAATGGACAAGTTTAAATAGTCAGTCAGCTACAACGTAGGACCAGGCACATACATGCATCGGTCAAAGTTGTCACACCTCATTAACACAGCAAGATGAACATCAAATTCATAGAACTAGTTAATTCAACGATGGTAATATATAAAAGAAAGATTTCAATAAGGATATAGTACTGGAAGAATTAGTTCATAGAAAGATATGAAGCGATTTTAATCACTTAGTTTAAGGGAAGACAGAGAGTGTAAACGCCTACGCCATTGTGATTGATTCTGAGCCATGTCATCTAAAGTCTCCATCTATTGATTACGATAGTTACACGGATCCCAACCAAATAGTGTGCATTTCCCAACATGTCTTAAAGTACAAGTTAGTGACTTCAAGCACTGATGCCACGTTTTGGTTTGGCCGCCCCTAATTTTCTTACAACCATCCTTAACAACGGTTAGCATTGCACGTCCTGGTAATCAGTGTTCAGGCATACACAACACGTGGCCCAATCATTTCAGTGGATGAAGATTCACAACATCATTAACTGACTTACCATCACTATTGAATAGTAAAACGGAACAACACAAGAATATTATGTGATCAATCAAAAAACAGGTCTGAATAAATTAATGTCATGTCATCTCAATCAAGGTGATTCATAAGCGACATGTATATAAATGTGTGTATATGTAAGTATACACTGTTAAGGATGAAAAATGTGTGACCTTTATGGTGAGAAATGATTTGTAAGATAATAGAGTGAATTGTGAATAATATCTAAGTACGATAGATGGTAAGGCCTTCATTTCTATTGAGGGAGGTAGAATTAAGCATTATATGAAAAGCTTTGGCTACTCTTTGTAATTGGAAAAAACCCTTTTTGTAATATTTTTGAAATTGATTTGACAGTCGTTGAAAATGGCGTGAACTGCTATTGCTGATTTATTTTTGTTGTTCCATTTTACTATTTAAACTTGGATTAATTTTGATTTGGTTATCTATTTATTCTCTGAAGAAGTGGCTTACACTAAGTCACGAAACGTCAAAAAATCTAAGTTTTATACTCATTGGGATATTACAAATATGTTAATTAATTTATAACACTCTACCCAATCCTCAATTTATTCGAAATTATCAAGTTAAACATTGATAATGATACCTATAAACACAAATGGACGCTTTATATGAGAGTGATAGAGAAACCTTTGAACGAAGTCATATGCATTTTATCAGTTAGTTTATTGATCTAAGCAAACAAAAATAAACAAATTAGACAGAGTTATGGAGTAAATATATAATAGCTTACCAGTTATAGGAAGAGCAGCTTCATCGGAAGTTTGAAATCTCCATCTTAATATACCAACTTCTTGACCATTTGGAAATGGTTTACCTCCTGGTTTGATTTGAATCCAACCAGTGGACTAAACAAAAATTTGAGAATAATTAGGAGACATTATAATGAGCAAAAATTAACAACCTGAAAACTTAATCAACAATATGTAAACTTTAAGATCCCAGTGGTTATTGTAGTTCTTTTTTGTAATTCAGTTTTAATAACCACATTGGGTGGGACTTGAATCAAGCACCTTAGGTAGATCGAAATCCAGTCTAACAATATCAACAAACGAGAGTATTTAAACTCTTATTAGTAATCATATGAAAATCATACCAGTTGAACATGTTCGTGACTATCTGAACTTAGTAGGTCAGTAGATAACACATCAGCGTTCGAAAAGAAAGGTATTGGATCTGAGGCCAAATGTGCAAATATCGACACTGAGATGCACATACATCCGGCTGACGAGTCTCAAACAGAACGGAACACATGACTTATATCCCGGTCAGTCAGTCAGTCAGCTACAACGTAGGACCAGGCACATATGTGCATCGGTCCAGGTTGCCATACCTCATTAGCACAGCAAGATGAACAGCGGATTCATAGGAGTGGTTAGGTCAAAGGTTGCAATAAGGATATAGTATAGGAAGAAAGAATTAGTTCGTAGACAGAAAGAATGAAGTGATTTTAGTCTCTTAGTTTAAGGGAAGACAGGGAGTGTATACACCGACGCCATTGTGATCGATTCTGAGCCATGTCACCAAGAGTCTCCAACCATTGGTTACGAAAGTCACGCGGACCCCAACCAAGTAGCCTGCATCTACCAACATGGCTCAGACTAGAAGTTAGTGACTTCAAGCACTGATGCCACGTTTTGGTTTGGCCGCCCCTAACTTTCTTCCAACCATCCCCTACCCCGGTTAGCATTGCACGTCGTGGTAATCGGTGTTCAGGCATACGTAATACGTGGCCCAACCATCTCAGTCGATGAAGATTCATAACCTCATCAACTGATTTACCATCATTACCTAATACCCTGCGTCTAACCTCACTATTACTTACCCGGTGATCCCAGCAGATGCCAGCAATATTTCTAAGGCATCTGTTGTCAAATACTAGTAACTTACGGGTGTCTTCTACTCTTAAGGGCCATGTTTCGCTGCCGTAAAGTAAAACAGAACGAACTGCCGCGCAGTATACTCGTCCTTTTAATGATAGACGGATATCTCGCCTTCGCCAAAGGTGACGTAAGTTGGCAAAAGCCAAACGAGCTTTTCGAATCCGTGCTGAGATTTCGTCAGACACCAACCCATTAGGGCTGATCAGACTTCCAAGATAAGTGAAGTTGCCAACGCGATCGAATACTTCACTCCCTATCCTTAGTTCAGGTGTTGACCCAGACCAGTCCTGAAGCAACAACTTGCATTTAGAGGGAGAGAAGCGCATCCCAAACATTCTGGCATTGTTGCTTAGTGCTGCCAGAAGACTCTGCATTTTGTCAGCGTCTTCACCAAACAGGACTATGTCATCTGCGTATTCTAAGTCGATAAGTGGACCTCCTGGAAGGAGATCAATACCCGAGAATTCAATCGACGAGAGTGTTATTTCCATCAATAGGTCTATGATGAAGTTAAACAGAAATGGAGAAAGTGGACAGACTTGACGGACACCACTTGAGGTTGCAAAAGTAGATGACAGTTCGCCATAAACCCTGACTCGTCAATAGTGTTCGAGTAAAGAGCCTTCACAAGGTTTATGTACTTCTGAGGTACGCCTTTCAATGACAGACACTGCCACAGAGTCTCGCGGTCTACCGAGTCAAATGCTGCTTTTAAGTCGAGAAATACCACCATCGTCGGACGCCGATAGGTATGCCTGTGTTCTAGAACCTGCCGAATGGTGAATATGTGGTCGATGCAGCCACGACCAGATCTAAAGCCAGCTTGGTTCTCTCGAGTTTGTAGTTCACGAGTCTTAGTTAGGCGTTTGATAATTATCGAGGCCAGTATTTTAGATACTATGTTTGTTAAACTAATCCCTCTGTGGTTGTCACAGGATGATTTTGACCCTTTCTTATATATTGGGACGATAAGTGATTGCGACCAGTCAGATGGGATAAAGTCTAATTCCCAGATCTTAGCTAAAATATTAGTCAAATTAATCGCTAAAATTGGACCACCATCCTTAAAGACCTCTGGAGCCAATCCATCTGGACCAGCTGCCCTTCCTCGTTTCAGATTAACTATAGCCTTTTGAACTTCAGCAAGAGTCGGGGGACCTACTTCAATGTTCCATTCACACTGTCTGGGAATGGAGGGTAGTTGTAGAGTAGCTAAAGGCCAGCTGAACTGTTCCCTAAAGTGTTTCGCCCATCGTTCTAAACGCCTGGACTTGGAGCAGATGAGTGTATCGTCTTTTTCCGATATAATCTCACTTACACTTGACTTATTAATTCCAGTTTCTTTTATTAGTCTGTAAAGCTGTCTTGTGTTCCCTATAGTCGCCGCCTTTTCCATCTCTTTTGCTTTCGATGCCCACCACTGCTCACGGTCGTTTCTTAGGCTTTTTCTTAACCTAGATCTGATTTGTTTTCGCTCTTCATCACGTTCAGAACCTGATGGGACGAGTTTGCGAGAATCCATCAGTGTGACAGACCTTGAAGAAATCAACTGGTTCCTTGCAACTCTGTGGTTTAAGTCACTAATAGATGTCACTGCTGTTTCCACAGCTGATTGTATGCCCTTCCAAGCAACATCTGGGTCAGCCTCGTCTTCACAACTACCTAAGTGTGACCTCAGTTGTTCCTGGAACCTACTTTTGGTTTTCTCGTTACTCAACTCAGTTCTAACGGGTCTTTTTAATGTGGCTTTTTTGCGTCCAGTGAGGCGCAAGCAGACGCGTGCCCGTATTAGGGCATGGTCGGAGTCCAAACAGGTACTCCAGAATGAGCGACAATCTTCTACCGACCCTCTCCAACGATGACTGATGGCAATATGGTCTATTTGAGTCCATCGTTGGTTTGGTGTAGGGGGTCGCCATGTTAGACGATGTCTCTCCTTATGCTTAGAATTTGTGTTTGCTAAAAATAAACGATTGTCTGAGCATAGCTGCAGCAGACGATCACCATTATCTGTGTCGGAACACTAAAATATCCACCTAAATGCCTTTCTGTTTGGTTTAAACTGCCTATCTGAGCATTAAAATCACCTGCTACGAGTACTATGTCTGAGCGTTTAGCTTTCTGAAGAAGTTCGGACAGCTTTCTGTAAAATTCGTCTTTCACATCATCTGAGCTGCAGTCAGTGGGAGCGTAGGCAGAAACGACAAAAAGGCAACGACGTGTGTTCCTATCCTTCCGAGTTCTTACGTAGCCGTTCAGCCGAACAGCACATAGACGACTGTTGACGGGGATCCACTCTAGCAGTGCTTGTTCGGCCCTCATGCTTAGTGCTATGCCTACACCTGCCAGTCCACGAGAACTTGCCATCGGGTCACCAGATACACGAAGGGTGTACCTCGTTGGCTCTCCGTTTTGCCGAAGTGAGGTCAAGTGAATGACCACACTGGAATCCTGTATGCGTGTTTCGGAGACACAGCACACGTCAATGGTAAGAGACTCTAGGGTTTTAGCCAAGCAAGCCTGCTGACCGATTTGACATAGGGTTCGTACGTTGAAGGCTCCAATGTGTAGTTTGGAGCGAGGTTTCAGTAGACCTGGGACAGTATTTTGCGCACTAGAATCGTTGGCTATGGTGACACTTGAGGTGGAAGCCGAGAGAGGAAATTTAAAGTTGAAAGTCGATGTAGGAGGAATAATAGGAATTGAAGAGGAAGGTTGATTATGAATACAGTGGTCTTGAGTGCTGTTAGAGGTATGAGGGCGGTTTTCACTTCCCGGTTGCCCACACCGTGGAAGGGTTGTTCTGGGGGTACCTGAAAAGGAATTTGGATTAAAGGTGGTCTTAGTGACCTGAGAGCGTGACCGCAGTGCCCAAGGGACAACTGCTTGAGGTCGGTCACACACGACCTTGTTATGGGTAATTTTTGTGTTAGCTCCGTACTTATTGAGACCTTACCGCCGGAGACGGATATCCGTGCGATAAGGCGAGGTGTGCATTTTTAGGGTCGACCTTTTCTAACCCCACCCCTCCTTGTGGGAAGGCAGCATCGCTGTCATGCTGGTTGTCTGAAGGAAACACCTTACTGCTGTCACACCTCTGTACAGTCAGCAGTACGACTTCGCCTTCGGACCTTGGGTTTGTTGCTTTTAGTCTTACCGCTCTTCAACCGACCTGTCTGACATGGTAGGACCTTGAGAAACGGTTGTTCCAGCCAGTATAGCTCGGTTGCTTCATCACGATAGGCAAGCCCGACCACCACGTCAAGGTAGCAACAACGGTCGGGCTTATATCCCGGTGCTAGATATAATCCACTTATTTTACAAAATTTGTGAGAAAATGACTATATTGAGGTTATTGAAATTCAGTCTAACTATTAATAATAGGATAATTCAAACCATTATTAATGATAATATACTACTCGGCTAATTTAACATTTAAAGCTAATCATTCAAATGATTAATCAAATATAAGTTTGTTAAAAATTCCCATTTAAACATTTTGTGAAATGATTCCAAACATTAGAAATTATGTAATTCAACATTAACTACATTTTACATAATATTTTATTTATTAATTTATTTAAACACATAAACATTGATATAAGGAGGCACCAAATAGATATGCACCACATAAATCATTCGATTTGTGTGAGGGCTGTGATACTGACCGGGTGCCCAAACCGAAACAGGTGGTTTTCTTAGGGGGCTACACCCCGAGTCTTTGACCTTAAGGTCTGATCCACAAGTCAGTGGAGTACCGTGGGGAGATGCAGTCCCATGGTAGCCGGTGACCAACGATTGGTCCATACACCCTTTGTTCCATCAGGATCCTCGAGTCCATGTGCACCATTGGTTCGAAATCCGGTTAAAGCGCCAGACATTCGCTTTTCGTCCTCTCATTTTCGTAAACAACACCCCCGCCACGAGAAGGCAGTGAGTAGGACTTCCCTGGCAGAGGCTGTATACGCGTGGCCGTGTGAGAGCATTTCGAGAGGGAGGGAGGGCCGACCCTACTCTCGGCCATACCAGGGCATTTGGGGCCTTACATAATATTTGATAAGAGAATTAAAAAACTATTTTAACAGGAAGTCAATTGTACAGTATTTATATAGAAATCATACATGACACAAAGTGAAACATATTAGATAATTCGTTGAATGGCATTTAATCAACGTTCAGCTAAAAGACAGTCCTATATCAATGACCAAAGGAGAGAGAATGGATGTACAAACTTCTTTTCAGTACAAAGGTTAGGTTTATGAATATAAATTCTGATAGATTCATTCAGTCAGAAACAACGTAGAACTTCGTACGTACGTACGTATATCAGTTCGAGTTGCCATACCACATTAGCACAGAGATAGTGGTAGAGGTAGTAAAATTATAAGCAGTAATCCGAAAGATGTTTTTCAAGGAGTACAATACTGTGAAATAAATTTGTAAAGAGAAATAAAGGGATATGAAGAATTCAGAAGATTAGAATTTGGGAGAACACAGACTGGATGCACTTGCGCAATTCCAAACGATTTTGAGCCATGTCATTCAAGGTCTCTAACCATCGGTTTCTATCGTCTCGTGGATCTCAACCAGGTACTTTACACCTACCAACATGGCTCAGTCCACTTGTCAGTGACTCCATGGATTTGTGTCATATTTTGGTCTGGCCGCCCCTAGCTTCCTTCCAACCTACTGCTACACCATAAAACATTGCATGTCGGTGGTTGGGCATACGTAACACATGTCCCAGCCATCTCAACTGGTGAAGTTTAATCACTTCATCAATTGGTTTGCCATCCTTACCTAGTATCCGTTTCCCAACAACTAATAGCTTCAGCAATATGTTAAGTACGAACTCGTAAACCATACGGTAAATTTGATGATAGATAACTTCCAAAGCTTTATTCAGGTCAACATATGATCGTATGTCCCACCAATTCAGCTAGAGCAGAAGTCTCAATCACACTAAACTGTCCATTGTTCAACCAAAAGGGATGGTACTCTGCTATACGATGATGGACTTGCCGAATTTTACACCCTATAAAACTGGCCCCACAGGAGCAGTTAAATTAATAAACACATACGGATGTAATGAATTCAGGTAGCATGTTTTTATTAGTGGTTCTCAATATCAAACGAATGTAGGAAATCGCATTCAGTTTTGGCTGCAGTAAATGTTTTCTGAGCCACGTCTACAACCTTCGTATTAATACTTTCTCAGTAGCGTCATTTAGAAACTGTGAATTCAAGAACACTAACTCCTATGAATTAATTGTTGTATTCGGTCTTATGTTTATTGAATTTTTTTAGAGGCGCGATATTTGACTCCAGTTAAATCTCAGAATGTTTGTTATCAAAATATACATGCCAACAATCCTCAAATGAAGTTCGAATACACATATTTCATACATTCATTGATCTGGACAGACAATCACGGAAACGAAGTGGAGAAAGTGAAGCGAAATGAAGTGACTCGCAGTGGAGAAGGCCAGCGAACCAACTCAATTTGATGATCAAGTGTGACTCAATATTCATATTCAGATAAAAATAAGTTACAGATACGTGATGAATAGGGCAAGCAATCAACATCCATATGATCATATGAAAACAATCATGATTAATAAGTGAATAATTGACAAGCTCAAAATATGGCTTGAGAATAATGAATACACTGTGCTGTCCAGAAGCTAGAGTAAACTATTTGGGCTTAACGAAGTACCAGTCACTACAAATTCATTAGTTTATTGAGGAATTTATTCGAATATCTAAACTCACCAAAATCACAAATATTACAAACTTCACCAAAGCGTTCGTGGGCGAATTTACACACCAGTCGTAGACTTCTAATTTGTACGTTACAACCCACGGATTAATTTGCCTTTAACCTGTCTAGTAGTTAACCTTTAATTTTCATATAAAAATGTCTTAACAAGTATATGTGTGATCAGATTGTTCGAAATGTATTTCGCTAATATATCACATAATTCTGATAAACATTGTCTTCTCATTGCATTATCGTAAAGAATAAGTATCCTATTCCTAGATATGATTGCTTGTGATAGAGTTTTGTTCTCTGAGCTGGACAGCTTGGTCATGGAGTTTTTATCGTTATTCTGGACATCAACATAAACTTCAGGTAGAAGTGAAGTGTTCGAACTTCTCCAAATGTGGCTCACCCTTGTCTTGTAGACTTCGTTTGTTGACCTTTAACCTGTCATTGTTTACTTCTTTATTTTGGTTGTATCTCTCATCGATTTAATTTTTGGTTCTATATTTGTCCATAATTTTTCTGATTGGTTAATAAATTGGATCAATGTCAATGTGTTTGTTGATTGCTGATTGACCTGAGTGCCAAGCTTCTAAAAATTCTCTGGTGTTTTTAGAATTGCCTCTACCCAAGATTTCAACATTTTCCCAGTCGAATGTGTCCACATGCATTGATATGGCGTTCGACCGCTAATCGATGTTCATGCAGATGAAAATGAAGAGGGCGTCCGCCTTGTCCGATGTAGTGTTTGTCGCAGCTGAAACAATTTATTTTGTAGACGATGATCGGTTTTTTTTATTTTGTCATTTCGTCCTTTTGTTTGCATTGGATTTATCGAAGTGATTTTGTTGGTTTGTATGCGACACCTATTGTGAAGGGTTTCAACAGTCTCGTTGTAGTTTCTGATATGCCTTTTATGTATGATAGGGTGATCCGTTTGTTGATTTCTGTACTTGACTTTGTTTTTGATGATGCGTGCAGCTGGTATTTTTTAATGAAGTTGATTGTGTAGCCGTTCTTTTTAAAGATAACCTTCAGGTATTTTTCTTCATTTTTCCGCGCTGCAAGTGTGTTGTAGTATGTCCTCGCTCTCTTGAAAAGAGTTTGTACACAGTTGATTTTGTGGGCTCTTGGTTTGCTGCTACTGTAATTGAGAATTTGATCTGTGTGGGTCGGCTCCCGATATATTTGAGTGGCCAGTTTTCCCGTGTCAGTTCTGGTGATTAATATATCCGAAAATGGTAGTTTGTTGTTCGATTTCTGTCCCATTGTGAACTAAATGTCATCGAAAACGTTGTTGATCAGATTTTATGTGTTTTCTAGCCTGTCCTTTTTGACGATGACGAATGTGTCGTCTACATAACGAATCCAAATTTTTGGCTTCATAATTGGTAAGATCGCCGTTTCCAGTCTCTGCATCACTGCTTCTGCAATAAGTCCTGATATTGGTGATCCCATCGGTGTTCCTTTCGTTTGTTCGTAAACTTTTTCATTGAAATGAAAATATGTTAAGCATAAATCGATGAGTTCTAGTAAACTTTGACTTTAAGGCTTCGTGTACTTTGTGAGATTTGTGTCGTTGGTGAGAAGCAGGGATACAGTTCCCTTTGCTAGGCTTGGTTCAATTGAGGTGAATAAGGTTGTTAAATCGAAGGATATCATCGGCTCGCCGTTGCTGAGTTGAATGTCCTTAATCCGATCCAGGAATTGCCCTGGTACAACCGAGGGTGGTGGGACTCTGCTCTTCTCTAAATACTCTCACATCCCCACCCATATACAGCTACCTCCAGGGAAGTTTTACTGACTGCCTTTTCATACCCGAAGTTTTTTTATCAAATTGAGAGGACAAAGGCAAATTTCCGACGAAGGTTTAAAACCAGTTGATGGGTACGGAGAATTCATCTAAGGGAGTTAGAAAACCCCTATTATAGACCAGTGGTGAAGCACATGGGCTGATTGGATAAATGGCGTATGAGCCTACTGATCGTCACCGGTTACCATTAGACCGCATCTCCTGACGTTGCTCCATTACTTTATGGATTAGACCTCTAAGTCAAAGGCTCGGTGAATGGGTTTCTTAGGAAACCACCTGCTTCTGTTCGCGCAACCGAGCAATATTCCGGTCCATACACTAACTCAGAGATTTTTGTGTTGTATAAATATTTTGGTCCCTTTGTACCAATATTTACGCGTTTAAATAAATAAATATACGGCATAAATCACGTTTATAATACAAGCTGTAGAATATAGAACCCCATCAGATCACTTTTTAGTTGTAAATATGATTAAAACAACTTAACTAGACTAGTCGAAACAATGAATCACAGTATGAATATGTAGGAAAGCACACCCATAATTACAAATGAACAAGGAACAGATATAGTGCTATTTAACGTGTTTATGTTTCATAAATCTTTTATTGAATCACTTGACAGGAAATGTTAAACTAGTCAACGACTCCCCATTAGCCAGTATGAAGAATTTAAACACATGGATATCAAATTATTGGTTCCATGATGAGGTGCTAACTGTAGGACATTGCAGTTCTTGGGTTAATCAAATTTAGTCTGGAAGCCTCTAACACATTAGAGAGTGGATGACTTTCAAAACTGATGTTTTCCAACCATTTATGATATTTAACCACGTTTGTTCTGTGCCAATATTTCGTAGATAAGTTATTTTATCATACAGAATAGCTATACTACAAAGCAACTGTCTTGTTTTCACTTGGATCTTACTTCAATAATTCGATCTCGTGAGCAGTTGTCATTTGGGTACATAGTATCATTGCATAACTTTTAGCGATCGGCATTATATTCATTCACCGTAACAATTCAAAACTCACTTACTTGTCAAATCCAAACTTACAGCAGAATGTAATGATGAAACCTCTAGGTTGATGGACTAAAGTGAGTGACCACCATCGATAGTCTACAACCGTGTACTTCAAATCAATCAACAACTGAATGGTTTCTGTGAAAAAAATATGTTTACCATCCCATGCAAAGTAAATCCATATCTTCAAGCATAAATTACCACAGTATCAAGTCGTTTACATTGAAATACTATTTGAGTATTATAAAGAAAGAAGAACTCACCATGAAAGTTTTCTTATCAATATTAGGATGTGTTTGAAGTTGAACAGGTGGCCGATGTTCATTGGGCGGATTTGTACACATACTTGTATCCACTCGGATTTTCGCTTCACAAGCTTCATTTGTGATAGCTTGTGCAAACATTGTACCTTGCAACTCCATACTTTCTAAACCACCATCACGACCAGCTTGAACGATTAACTTCTCCTCAATTCGTAAATGCAGACTAAAAAACAATGTGTAGGAAAAAAACACATCGATTACTTGCTACTGAAATGTACAAACTTATGGTTGAAAAAATGACTCAAAATGCAAATAAAAAATATTAAGCCATACTACTACTGAAACGATTCAGCTTCGCTATGGACCTATAATATAAAGATTGTAGACAATAGACGATTACTTAGTGGTAGGTATTGAACAAAAATTCATGCTTCTTTACAGTTAAGGCTGATACATAAGCCAAGAAATTTTAGGAATCATAGTTGTGACAATCAAGTGAAGCTTTACGCAGGAATTCTCTTGTAAGTTGTAATGTATCATAATGCTTACAGTAAAATGTTTTAGGATACAACTAAAACTAATCGTGAGTTACTATTTTGTCATCTATTTGTATCCCACATCTAACAGCTCCGATATCTACAAGTGCATAATTATTTCATTGAGTACCTAGTTGTTGCCACAGATATTCGAGAAAAAAAGATCAAACCAAGACGTAGCATCAATTAATGAAGTCATTGACAGTTGGTCTGTGTGGTATTGGATGATGTTAACTGTTTGGTTGATATTACTTAAATGTCCATAATCTATAAATGAAGAAACTGGATAGCATGTTTCAAATTCGGTAGTAGTAATTTGCATTTTGTTCTAATCTTATCCTAAATCTAGAGTATAACATAGCTCTGTACTCTGTGTTTTACGATTTTTTTGCTTCCCAAATGTCCACCACTATTATTACAAGATATCTAATTAGTCTTCTTAAAGTGTACTGGTATAAGGTGAGATAAGTTAGAATGTTATACGTTTGTTCCAGGTCCTCTATGCTTTATAGAGGAATAAATATGCTTAAATGCCAGCTTGATTGTACTTGTAAGATATTAATACTTTTAAACTAATGCGTGCAGAAAATGGATATAAATCAATGTTTACTTTTCTTTGAACCATTAACATGTTTATTCGACAGAATAAATCCTTTTAGACTCTAAAGCATACGACTTACTTTTCTTTTTTAACATGAGATTTTTGAGTTGAAGCAGAAGTTGAATTAGTACTCATTACGTTATCTGCTCCGTCTGATCCGCTAACTAAATTCATAACATCTTCATTGACCACTTCACCTTCGGCTTTTAGACGATTCACAAACTGATCAATGCTTTTTAAACCACCCTGGCCACCACCAAGTTGCATACCACTTCGTTTCACTGATGCTAAGATAGTTGCTGAATTTGTAGTAGGCAAACTTTGAACATCCGTATTCCCATCTCCCAAACGATCTTTCATGACGATTACACGAGGTTCATCTGTTGATAACACGGTAGGAACATACACATGGAAATTAGCCATGAGAACGGTTTTCCTATTTTAAAAACTTCACAGTTGAATTTAATAATTCGACAAACCTCACAAACAGGTAAATGGTGTACTATATTACATTAAAAAAATTTTAGCAAAAGGAAAATATGTGACAAAACCTAACATAGCTTTAAATGCTTATATAACATAGCCCCGAAATGCCCTGATATGGTCGAGGGTGAGGAGAGTCAGCTCTCCCTCTCTAAATGCTCTCACATAGACACGCGTATACAAGCACGGTCACGCAAGTCCCACTCACTGCCTTCTAGAACTACAGGTGTTGTTTACGAAATCGAGCGGACGAAAAGTGAATGTTTGGTGCTTTAACTGGGTTAGTAGATATGGTGGATCCACCTAAGGGAGTTGGAAAATCTTGATTGCAAACCAATGGTGCACATGAGCTCCAGGATCCTGAGGGAACAAATGGTGTATGAACCCATTGTTGGCCACCGACTACCATGTGACTGCATCTACTAACGCTGCTCCACTGACTTGTGGATTAGACCGCCAGGTCAAAGGCTTCAGGTGTGATCCCTACGTAAACCAACTGCTTCGGTTTGAGCACCCGGGCAGTATGACAGCCCTCACACATATCAGTGATAACTGTCACTGACCTCATTGTTATTGTGTATTTGGTGCCCACTTGTACCAATGTTTATATGTTCAAATAAATAAATAGAATAATAAAACGCAAAATTCGAAACATCTCATGACACCTTAGCACTTACGAGAATTTCTCTAATCTAACCCGTTCAGTCGTATTATGATAAATACTCGGCCTGAAAGTATTCAACCGGCACATTAAATGCTTAACGAGTTTACTAGCTGCTTTCCTTCATATCAAAAATGTGCAATGAGGAACTATTCTGTATATTAATGCCCAGTATTAGCAATAACTGTCTTCGTTGAATAAATTAGCACTTTTAATACCATAAAACAGTGGCCACTTCGCAAATGGTAAGCTGACGAATATCAAATAAGTAACTGGTCGCAATTTTGGGATAGTAGATTTTACAAGCTTATAATATCTTGCATGCAAATTTTGCAGTTAAGTGTAAATATTCTCATCAAATCTTGCATTCTACTTAACTACCAATTTGTAACACACATAAAGTACGGTGCAGTAAGAAGTTAGGGCAGTACCCAGCTTCAAATCAATACTCAGTAGGTTCAAACCCCGCACCATGTAATCTGGTTTGAGCACCTACATAATATAATAACCTCTCACAAAAAGAACTTGAAAACAAGTACACTAACTTGTACTTGTAAAGCGAGTCGCGTAAACAACACGAAAAAGACGCGACGAATAAAAAAAATATGTAAGAAAATCATACGGTAAGTGGATAAACCACTTACGGAAATATGAGAAATGTGACCACCTTAAAATTTTGACATATTAGTAGACAATATTTTACTTCCATTACAATCCAAATAAATACAGGAAAGCTTACTTAAATCATTTGACAGACCACCCATTCCTTTCCCACCACGATAATTAGAGAATCCTGAAAGATTCATACCACCTGAGCGTTTTCCAGCTTCTAGTCGGGCTTGTTGTAGTTCACGTGCTCTCTGTTTCATTTGCTCTTTAGCATCACGTTCTTTGTTCTAAAAAGCAACACATGAAAATGAGTTCGAAAAAGATTAGAAAAATCAAAAACAAAATTACTAGCTAAAGTATGTCTCCGAATTCAACGGAGGAATGTGAACCTTAGTGACATTACCAGTACAAAAGTGAAAGAATAGACGAATTTGTGACAATGTAAAGCTCAAAATAAGTTTTTTTTTAATAAATAGAAATATCCCCAGACGGAGTGGTTGAGAACATACCTCCTGTACAGCACGGAACACTCGTTCATCGTGTGAGTCCATTTCCGTATATGTTCGAATTTGTGACAGGTTGACATCTTCTCTATAGCCTAGAGCTATGATTTCATCAAATGCGAAAATAAGTTGGAAAGCATGTGTCAGTACATCGTTTTCATCGGTACCACAAGCATACTCCGGTATCTATATGTACAAGAAAAGAATATGTAATTAAAGAGAACATTAAAAATAGAATGATCAGTGAGAATATTTCCTAAACGTACCACACGTGCAAAGAGCCGTAATGTCTCCAAATCTTCGAGTATATTGCTAGCTTTGGTAGTTATCAGAAGAACATACAATTTTTCCAAAGGTTGGTAAACATACCGCACAGATTCTGTTTCCACAAATGTATGTTGTTTACCTAGGAAGCAAAAAATATAAGCAATAACGGTCCTATTGAGCTAAAAATCTGATATATCCATGATTTAGATATACAAATATCGTAGGGTTTCATAAGGGGAAGTGTCCTCACGCTTGAAACCACGTTTCCTCAGTGCGAATACTGAGTCAACACTATATATATGGGAAATAAGACAAGACGAAAAATCTATTTTCAGCTGACAACTAAAGTTTATAAATTCCACCCCAATAGCGTAACAGGTATGTTATAAAAACTTTGAGAATTTACACGTTTACATTCCCGATAAGATGAACTAATTACAAATAAGTGTTGATTCATCACCGTACACCTGGCTCATACAATCACAAATCCAGATATATCAATAAAGGAATATACTGAACAAGTGAATTATTAGCTGAGTTTTGTTAGGCAAAGCATCTCAGACGATACTTTACGTTAGTTTTCTGTTTCAAAGAAAAGCGATTAGGCCAAGTCAGATTAGTACGCCAACTAGAGTCATAAGTCGTGTTCTGCAAAAACCTTTCGTATAAATACGTAAACCACCTAATAGGTGATTTTAAGTCAAGCATTTTCAGTCACTGAACAACAACACACTTAACTGTGTACGTAGATAATTGCATTTAATAACTGACTGACAATATTTGTATAACAACCAGAAAACGGTTAAATTATATGACATAAGTCTAACTGAGCACACTTGGAGCTGAAATAAAGCAATCACCTTACATTTATTGAATACAACATAAGAACAAGAACTATGAGTCTTCGAGAAAAAAGAAGTGAAAACTAACCTGTCCCAAGAAGCTTTGGAAATGTTGCTATTAATCCTTCAATTCTTGCCTTTGTCATTTCCACAAACTGTCGAGACACCAGAGCTTAATAGAATAAATGCAAATTCACACTATGAGCATACCTTTACCATCACGAGTACACACAGATGCAGCCAACAGAACCTTAATTTTTGGATGCCAAATAAAAGACAACTCACCATCGCGCCAACCTGTCAAGTTTACAATTAGCCGCTTCGCACCTCCAATATCCAATCTACATACTTTGGGAACTTTCAGATGGTTCAAATGATTGTGAACAGAATAAAAAACCTTTCGCTTAACGGGCTTTCGTACCTAGTGGCAGTGGATGAACAATACCTCCAGGTAGGAACCTAGGTATCTAGTCATAGGATTAATAGTAACGAATTCGAAATCCTACTCCAATAACTTCTGAACTTCGTGGATAAACCGCCTTAACTTCATGTCTTTGTAATTTCAAATTATTATCGATTGCTTTGATTGTTAAATAAACATGCGTGTTATATCACTACTGAGTCTACGGATTACTCTTTTACATGCTTTTCTTTCCTTTAGATTCTTTCGCATCAGATTCAGATTCAGATTTGTGTAGTAAGGACAGAAGGCCTACGGCCTATGTTATTCCTTTTCTAGTATGCTTCTGTGAGTGTCCAGTCTTCTCTTGAAAGAGTCAATTGAAGGTGCGGATACCACTGCTTCAGGCAGCAGGTTCCAAGTATTGATGACTCGGTGTGAAAACCTGTATGCCAGGGGTATTTTGTTCGTTCTTGGCTTTTCTACTCGCCTGCTATGTCCTCTGAGGTGTCCCGATCTAGTGGGAAGAAAGAGAGAGAATAAGTTAGGTCCGAAATCATTTCTCAGTATTCTGTACATCAATATTAGATCTCCCCTTAGTCTGCGATAAGACAGAGTAAAGAGGTTCAGTTTTTCAGGCCGCTCTTTATATGATAAACCCCGGAGTTCCGGAATTGCACGCGTAGCTGCCCTCTGTACCTTTTCTAGTATGTCTGAGTCACCTTTTAAACAGGGGCTTGCAGCCTGAACACAGTTCTCTAACTTAGTTCTCACTAAGGATGTGTATAATGTGGTGAACATGGTAGTGTCAAGCTTAGTGAATGTCCTTTTTAAAGCCCAGAGGGTTCGAAACCCCTTAACTGCGACCTCCCGGCAATGGGCCGTCGTCTTAAGATCATTGCTCACTGTCACCCCTAGGTCCTTATGAGACCGGACTACGGGTAATGACACATCCCCTATGTTGTACGTACTAACCTTTGAATCCCCCAAGTGCATGTAGACACACTTTTCCGAGTTGATAGGCATTAGCCACTCTTTAGACCAGTTTATCATATTATTTAAGTCCGCCTGAAGAGTGAATGCGTCTGTGTCTCCAGTTATTACTCGCCAAATTTTTACATCGTCAGCGTATAATAACATTGGAGACTGTACTACACTTGTAAGATCATTAACGTAGATTATAAAAAGTAAAGGACCTAGGACGGAACCTTGGGGTACTCCACTAAGTACTGGTCTCCAGATGGAGCACTTGGAATTTATTCTTACTTTTTGCCTACGACCTACTAGGAAACCCTTGATCCATTTTAAAAGAGGTCCGGCAATACCAAGGTTTGCCAACTTCAATAGCAGTCTATTAGTTGGCACCTTGTCAAAAGCCTTACTGAAGTCTATGTAGACAACATCCACTGAGTTTCCGTTGTCTAGCGCATTAATCCAGAGCTCCCTAGCTATAAGGAGGTTCGTTGTACAGGATAGACCCTTTCTAAAACCATGTTGTGCCATGTTCAGCAAGTTATTGGTTTCCATAAATGCTGTTATGGTCCGTTTGATTATCCTTTCCAGTATTTTAATTACAACACTGGTGAGGCTTACGGGTCTGTAATTTGATGGAACTTGTCGTAGACCAGTTTTATGTATGGGAGTGACGATTGCGTCCTTCCAGTCCATAGGTAACACACCTTGATCAAGTGACATTTTGAATATCACAGTCAGTGGGGCTGCGATATATTCGGCAATATGTCTCAAGATTTTAGGGTGTAGTTCATCTGGTTCTGTTGACTTCTCCATGTTTAGGGTGCTAAGAGCCTTAAGCACATCGTTTTGGTCGAAGTCCACGGTGAGCAGCTGGTTTGTTGACTCTGTAATTGGGTCTGGTTCTTTCTCTAGAGGAGGTTCCTGAGTGAAAACTGCCCCAAAGTAGTCAGCCATAACCTCAGCTTTTTCCTGATCTTCCTCTATCATTTCAGATTCACTTCCTATTTTAATTAGGTTGGGAATCCAGTGATGAGTCCTTGTTCCGTAGTTTATGTGTGAGAATATTCTCTTGGGCTGCTTGAGTGCAGATTCTGCCAGCTGCATTTCATATTTTCTTCGGGCTTCACGAATTTCAGTTATACACACGTTTCTTATCGATCTGTAGTGTTCCATCGTACCTGCTGTGCCAAGGCGGATGGCAACATCCCAGCATTTCTTCTTTTGTCTTAGTAAGCGTCGAATATCCCGCCCTGACCAGGGATGTCCGTGCTTCTTTTTCTTTGGAACTGTCCAGGGTATATATGGTTGAGTTACCCGATTGTATAACTGTCTGAATAGAGTCCATGCCTCTTGTACTGATGCCTTTGAGTCAATTTCCCAGTTCTCAGCCGATGCTGTGGAGTTAATTGTCTGCATATCTGCCTTCCATATGTTAGGACGGGCCGGCGCAATTTTTTGAGAAGCAATTTCAGCCATGAATTTGAATAAGATGACTGCATGGTCACTTCTCCCAAGTGGTGGGAGAAAAGTCGTTTGACCAACGTCATCACCGTGTGTGAAGACTAAATCTAAAAGAGAGGAAGAGTTTCTTAAGTCGTATCTTGTGGGATCTCTAATGTGTTGGAATAATGCTAGTCCAATCGAGGTTTCTAACAGTTTGGAGTCGAACGACGATATAGATGACTCTACTTCTAAGTTAACCCAGTCTATATATGGTGCATTAAAGTCGCCTACTACGAGGCTTTTACCGTTGTTACACCAGGACTTAAGTTTACTGAGGAGAAAATCATCTGCTACACATTCTGGACTGCGATAAACTACAACTAATTCAATATCTTGCCTTCGGCATTTCAACTTACATCTCACCAGTTCACATGTCCCTTAAACATGTGCTACTGTCTCAGCTAATCTTATGGTTAGGGTACTTTTCGTGTACACAATAACCCCGCCTCCCCTTCGGTTTAATCTATCAGCCCTACTGGTTATGAAACCAGTCAATTGGATTTCAATATCTAATACTTCTGACGTTAACCAAGTTTCCGAGACAGCGATAACGTCCGGTTTTTCTTTATCCACCACTGACTTCAGCTCCGCCATTTTATTTAGTAGGCTGCGAGCATTTGCGTAGCACACTTTTAAGTCTGTGGAGAGCTTTCCCTTGCCACCCAGAGTGGCTTGGGGATCGTTTTGCTCCGAACTTTTACAATCTGAAAACCCTTAAGAACGAGGTTTCTTTCACCGTTTCGGCGACGCTCGTTTATTTCCGCTTCTGCAGCTCTTCTCTTAATACGATCAGCTAGGCTGAGGTCCTCACGGACATATATTCCGGATCCAATCAGTTTACGTGAATTACTTAGAACCAGGTTCCTTTCTTCCACCGTGTTGAATGTAACCTTTAGGAGGCGGTTTTTCTGAGGACTTTCGGAATCCACCTTTTTTCTTATTCTATAAAGCTTACAAATACTAACTCCTGAAACTGTATCTGGGAGTAGTTTAGTTAATGATGTCTTAATATGATTGAGATCATGTTCAAATCTTGCCTTTGGTTCAGTGTCTGAAGATTCTCTTATCTTATGAAAAATGACTGATCTCTCAGAGAGATCTGTCTTTTCACGCTGTGAGGATTTTTCTTCTGATAAAGTCCCTTCCAATGTCTTGCTGACCAGCTGCGTTTTGCCTACAGCCTTTTTCTTCTTATTTTTTTTCTTCTTACCGAAGTCCATTTGTCACCACTCAGAACAGCCACACCTGGACTATGTGGAACGGTGACAGTTTTATCCGGATCTTCTATTTCGACTAGAGGTGTATGACTGCCGATGTCAATATCAGGCGACAATTCATTTCTCGTTAATGTCAACGGAGATTTTACGTTCCCGTCAACTGCAGTCAGGTGTTTAATGGGTCCAGTAGCAGCACTTACTACACTGACACATTCTTCATCATCAGTACTCCTGTTATCAGAGCCTCCGCCACAGTTTTTCTTGCAGGCCAAAGCCAATAGGCCCATAGCCTCCTGTATTAGTACCTTTTTATCCGTACAGCAGAACACACAAAGCCAATGCGAGTTAGGCTTCGAGCATCTTTTGTAAGCCGTCGGACTTAGTCGTGTACACAATTTGTGATACCACTTTTTACAGTCGTCACACTGCATTCCCTCCTCAACGGAGAACAAACAATTTGGTTGCCCACATTTGTGAGTCTTACCAACCATTGAAATTCGATTTAAAAGGTTTAAAAACAAAAAAATGATAACAATGTGAACACAAGTGTTAGTCAAGGACTAAAAACAGGTACCCAGGACAAAATATAGAAAAAAATTTCAAACTTTAACCAAAGAACTCTTAGTCAAAGTAGACCAAGAATGCTTTTTAGTGCAATAAGTACCAAAAGCGTGAGTTGATCTTGGGACTAGTACTGTACGTACCCCTAGGCTATGCTCAAACACCGACATATTCGGATCTTATCGGCGAACCTGATCTATGACGATTATAGTAGTCTTGTAAAGTAGCACATGACAAAAAGCCAAATGACCGAACGGTTCAACAGTTTTTCAACAGGATGAATGAAACTTTCGCCTAACTAGCTCGTTTCTGATACCAATGGCTTCAGACAGGGAGTAATGCATTTGAAACAAGCAAGAATAAAAGAAAGATTGGTAAATCATAAAACGGTGTTGACTCTGAGTCCTTTGGAATAAATAAAGGCTTCAGTTGAAAAGCTTGATGGAATTTGTTGTGGGCTTTGAAGACTTGACTACATATAAAAAGCAGAATGCATGCAGTGGCATAAGCCACTAACACGAGAGAATATAGTGAAATAGATATTCAACATTTAACGGGGAGAAAAACCCAACGATGAGAAGACGGGAACGATAAATTGTATCAGTTCGAATTAATCGGGTGGCATGGCTCAGCCTCGTCAGCATGATCGCTCTCTACAACTTACTTTTACTCATGCTAAATATATTGTTCTATCTACAGTCTAAATGTGTTCTTCATCATATATTGGTGATTGTTACGACGCGATGAGT